TATACTAAACCCACCCATTGCCATCAGTTTGATTCAAACTCACAGACCCTATAGCTCAGAATTGAACTGCCCCATAAGAGACGGTTTCCAAGGCTATTTATTATCATAGAAGCAGACTCACATCTTTCTCCCAACTAGTGGGTTCTAGCCACAGACCTTTCAATGAGTAGCCAGGTTCTTCACTACTGTCCTGTCATGTCCGGGCTCCACATATTAGATAGGGATTATTGCTTTGGGTACAAACAAAGCAGGAAAGGGGAACTGCAAGCATGGGCAGGGGTGTGTCATTTTCAGTAGGGTGGTCAAGGAAGGTCTGAATGAGAAAGCGACACTTGAGGCCAGGTCTGAAGTAGGTGAGGGGTTGACTTGTGACTATCTGGATGATACTATGGAACATTTAAGAATGAGACACAGTCACCATCAAGGAAGAAGAGCATGAGCAGAATGTGGGACCCTATCCAGGAGTCTTGGTTTGGCACTATGGGTTAATGTGTCAGATTGCAAAGCCATTTGAACTGCAAAGTCGGTGGTTCAAGCCCACCAGCTGCTCCTTGGAAACCCTATACAGGGTTGCTATGGGTCAGAACGAACTCGACAGCACTTAACAACAACAACAACAACAATCAAGAGAAGCAGTGACATCAGAGATGGAGGCAGAGATGAGGACATGGAGCGAGAGAGCAACTGAGGACTCCAGACTCATGGAAAGAGAAAGACTGTGTTGGTGGCCAGGAGGCAGGCTTGCAGAATGTGCTCTTGGGTTAATGTTTAGAAGATTATATATTCCTGAATGTTTTTGTGTATGTTCCCCTACCCCCAAACAAAACAATACAAAACAGGGAATAGAAGCAAATACTGTTGAATGATGATGCATGGAGGAGATGGCAAATCATTGCAGTGAAAGGATGAGTGTAAAACTGATGTTTTCCCATGTAGACTATCACTCAATTCACAATAAAAACTTAAAAAAAAAAAAAAGAATGAGACAAAGTCTCTGCCTAACAGTTTTCTCCAACCTACAGTTGTTGTTGTTGTTACGTGCCATCGAGTTGGTTCGGACCCATAGCAACCCTGCATAGGGTTTCCAAGGAGTGACTGGTGAGCTTGAACCACCGAGCTTGTAGTTCAAGCGGCTTTGCAGTCTGTTGCATTAACTCACAGCGCCACACCACAGATACTGTATAAAATGTATTGTGATACTGTATATGACAGTATTCTGTAAACAATGTTGTTGCTAGCTGCTGTCAAGTCATAAAGACCCACGACCAACAGAATGAATTGCTCTCAGGGCTCATATCATCCCTATGACTGGTTGCAGATTGGACTGTTGTGATCCATAGAATTTTCACTGGCTGATTTTCAGAAGCAAATGGCTAAGGCCTTTCTTCCTATCCCATCTTAGTCTGGAAGCTCTGCTGAAACCGGTTCAGCGTCCTAGCAACACACAAGCCTTTACTGATGAATGCATAGTGGCTACATACCACACATAAGGTGCATTGACCAGGAATGGTTCAGCATCCCAACAACACGCAAGCCTTTACTGATGAATGCATAGTGGCTACATACCACACATAAGGTGCATTGACCAGGAATAGAACCAGGACTCCCTCATGGAAAGTAAGAATTCTACCAATAAGCCATTTTATAAGCTATTTTGTTGTTGGATGCCATCCAGTTGAACTCATAATGGCTTATAAATATAGGATGTTTTCACTGAAGTACACATAAGCAATTAACAAGAACAAGAGTGTATGCTAGGATTATAAAAGGATACAAAATGATAAAGAGAACATGAGCATTTACAATTTAGGGGTTAATTGTTCAGTCTACAATATATGGTACCAGGGAAACTGTGGTTAGGTTCTCTTTTCTGTCAAAAGTGGAAAGAGTGCTTTCAACATATGAGAAAACACTGAGGCTTCTACTTGGGAGCCCACTTGTTGCTTTTTGTGGTCTGGTAGGGTATAATCAGTATTTGTGGGTATGAAAATTATTTGCTCAGGGAAGCCAAATGATGTTACAGATAAATTATTTGTAAACCCACAAGTTATTTGCATGATGATGGTGCCAAAAGGTCCCAGAACTAAGTTTTCTTTGTCTGTAGTCCACTGACAAAGTCTAGAACTGCAGAATAAACAATGCTGGCTTAAAAAAAAAAAAAAAAAATCCTGGTGTGGCACTGTGGGTTAATGCGCTGGACAGAAAAGCCAGTTTGAACTCTGAAAGGTTGGTGATTCAAGCTCATGAACCACTCCTTGGAAACCCTATACTGGGGTAAGAAAGGACTCGGTGGCACTTAACAACAACAATATATATACATGGACTCATGCGTGGTGCTGTAGGATCAGCACTGGACTTAGAACCACAAGGTCGGCTGTTCAAACCCACCAGCGACTCCTCATAAACCTGATGCTATGAGAAGGAGCTCTGGTAGCGTAGTGGTTACGAATCGGGCTGCGAACCTCAAGGTCAGCAGTTCGAAACTACCAGCTGTTCCACGGGAGAAAGATGAGGCTTTCTGCTCCCTTAAAGATTTACAGCGTTGGAAACCCTGTACAGGGTCGCTATGAGTTGGAACCGACTCCACGGCACACAACAACAACAAATGAGTAGGAACCAACTAAAGGGCACTTAACAACAACATATGTATATATTTGTGGTGGGTTTGAACTGTCCAACTTTGCAGTTCTAACCAACCTTGCAGTCCAGTGCTGTATCCTACAGCGCCACATCAGGACTCCGTTATATATATATTTGTTGTTGTTAGGTGCTGTTGAGTAAGTGCCAACTCACAACGACGACTTTGTATAGTGTTTCCAAGGAGCGGCTGGTGAGTTTGAGCCGCTGATCTTGGGGCTAGTAGTCAAGTGCTGATTCTCTAGCGCTCCCCAGGACTCCTGGGATTTCTGAGTCACTCTGAAAGATGTCTTTAGATGCCTAACCTGGGTTGTTTAAAAAAGAGAAACATTTAGGAAAAGCAGGTTTCTAACCTAGGGGGTGGAGTCCCAGTGTGGGGCTGTGGGTTAATGAGCTACACTGAAAAGCCGGTTGAACTGCAAGGTCGGCGGTTCAAGCTCACCAGCTGCTCCTCGGAAACCCTATACAGGGTCGCTATGGGTCGGAATCGACTCGACAGCACTTAACCAGTGGGTGGAGTGAATTAGGACTCATCGCGACCCTATAGAATAGAATTGTTGTGACGTGCCCGACGTATAGGGTTCCTGACGAGCAGTTCGTTAGCTTGAACCACCGACCTTGCCGTTCCAACAGCTTTGCAGTCTGACGCGTTAACCCACAGTGCCACATCAGTACTCCTAGGATAGAGTGGTAGTGTGCTGTGGAGTCGGTTCCAACTCATAGCGACCCTGTACAGGGTTTCTGAGATTGTAAATCTTTACTGGAACAGGCCTTATTTATCTTTCTCCCGCGGACCAGCTGATACTTTCAAACTGCTGACCTTGAGGTTGGCAGCCCAATTCGTAACCACCTAGGATAGAGTAGGACTGTCCTATTGGGTTTCCAAGGCTGTCCATCTTTAGGAATGTGGATAGCCACATCTTTCTCACGGTTGGTAAGTGGGTTCGGCTGGAACCCCTAGTTTGTGGTAAGCAGTTCAGCACCACATCAAGGCTCCAATAGTGTATGCTATTGTTAAGTGCCTCTGAGTCGATGCCAGTTCATAGAGACGCTGTATAGGTTTGCCGATGAGGCTGTAAATCTCTGTGGAGCAGAAGTTGATAACAGTGCAGTGCGGATCCACCTAGGCTATCAGGACTCCCCATAAGGTAGGTTTGTTGTTGTTTTGGTAAGTGCCAACGAGTGGGTTCCGACTTATAGTGACCCTGTATAGGACTTCTGAGGAGCGTCTGGTGGGTTTGAAGTACCGTCCTTGTGGTTAGCAGTCCAGTGCTTATCCTACAGGACCACATCAGGTTGTTGCTTTGTTAAGTGCTGTCGAATCGGTTCCAACTCATAGTGATCCCATATAGGGTTTCTGAGAAGAAGCGGCTGGTGGGTTTGAACCACTGACTTTGAGATTAGCAGCCCACCCATAGGCCCCAGGATCCCAAAACCCCAGGGTTGTTGGTTATGCGACTTTGTAAGGGTTTCTGAGGCTGTAAATATTTACCGGAGCAGAAAACCTCATCGTTCTCTCGCGGAATAGCGAGAGAAATAGGTAAGTTTCGAACTGCTGACCTAGAGGTTAGTAGCCTGACTTGTAACCACTGCGATACCAGAGCTCCTTTCACACCAGATTAGGGTTGGGAAATCTGTCTCCCCTCGCTGGCTGCAGGGATTGTTGGGCGGTTTTGCATTCACCCTGGTGCGATTTTTGTGAGAAGATACTTTCCTAACTTTGAAAATTTGCAACACACTTTGGAGTGTGTTGGATCCCACTATTCAGCAAGGTAAGATCCTGTTGATGGTTTGCTGGACTGTTAACGGCAACGTCGGCCGTTCAAACTCACCAGCCGCTCCTCGGAAACCCTATACAGGGTCGCTATGAGTTGGAACCGACTTAATGGTACTAAACAACATAACTACAAAGGGGGGCAGTCCTGGTGTGGTGCTGTAGGATAAGCACTTAACTGCTAACCACAAGGTAGTCGGTTCAAACCCAGAAGCCCTCCTGGGAAATCCTACACGGGGTCACTATGAGTGGGAGCGAACTCCACAGCACACAACAACAAAGGAGTGTGGCCTAGCACTGTTCACTCATTCATCAAATGTTTTATTATGCGCATATTCAGTGCTCGACGGGGGTCCTCGCGCACCTGGGGGGGTGCAACGAACCAAGAACTTTAGATTCCCAGGCCCTGATCTTGTCCCCCTTCGCTCTAGAACAGCTCGGAGACAAAGAGCTGCACCCCTGCAGTTCCTAGGGCTGAGGGCTCCGCCCGCGGCCCCCAGGACGGCGGGTGAGCTGCTTTTCCACTCCCCCGCCCGAGGAGGCGCTGCAGCGCCCGGCGCTCGGCCCGCCTCTGCTCGTTCGGCTCAGCTCGGCGTTGCCCGAGGCGCCGAGAGTGGTATGTTCCTCTCGCTGCCTCTCCCTCCTCCGCGGCCCTCCCCGCCGGTGGTAGGTGCCGGAAGTGCCGCCATTTTGGGGTGTTCTGCTCTGGCGGCAGCGGCAGCGGCGGCGGGACGCGGAGGCTCCCCCGGGACTCGGCCTCAGTAGCGAGGCGGCGGCGGCTGCGGAGGTGCAGGCAGCAGCTGAGGCGGCGGCGAGCTCAGGTGCAGCCGCTGGTGAGTGCGGCGGCTGCGGGCGGGAGGGACGGAGAGCAGGCAGGAGGGAGGCGCCGCGGGGCGGGTCCTGTCCAGGCGGCCGCGGGTCACAGGGTCCTCGGGCGCGGTCGCTCCTTGTTCCCCGCGCCTCAGGGCCCGTTGCGCGGTTTCTTCCCATGTGTCGGGGTCCTCGGCTTCCCGGGTCCCGCTGCGCTTTCCCGGCGCGTGCCTCCGCGCCCAGGGAGACCCGCCCTCCTCGTGGCTTTGCCTCTTCTCCCCGCGCCCTTTGCCTTCACCCTGCGGGCCCCGAGGGCTTCATTCCCTGTTCAGGGGCGGCCCTGCCCCTTGATTACTGCTGCCGGGCAAACCCAGGCTATCTACCTGGGACACCTCTTCTTCGCTCCTATCGCCGCACGTGTTCTCGGTGCCCACTCCTCGGGGTGTCCAGGACCCTTGCCCCCAGGAGGCTAGGCTTGGCGTCCCTATCCTTTAGAGCCCACCGTTCCTGGCCCCAGCTCTGCCAGGGCCTTGGCTCGCCCTCCCCCGACATCAGGTGCTCACCCAGTCATGGCCTAGTGGTAGGGCTGGCATCTCGCACCCGAGAGCGCGGGGAGCACATACGAAGGCTTTCTTCGCCAGGAACCTGATTCTGGGTTTTAAAGCTGGTGGTGTCTCGGCCCTGGTCCTCGGAACGGGATGTTGTTTTAATTCTCCAAGACCTTTGCAAAGGCTGTAAAGAGCTTCTCATTGGTTTAGGCTCATCTCCATAGTTGTTTTTTTTTTTTGTGGTGGGGGGAGCTGCTAGATTTTGATCCGAACCTGTTTCAGTTTCAGCAAAATGGAATCTCTTTTCTCGCCAGCGGAGTTAATGCTGTACGTTTATTACCTTCGAGTAAAACAGTTTTTAACGAGGCCGGAGTGTGCTGTCTAATGTCTGCAGTGTAAGAGGTTAGAAATACCCAGTGAATCCTGTGCAGGAACTTTGCCTTTGAAAGGTCTTTCCACTGTCTTTGAGTCTCTGGATTGGAGAGCCGTTGTCTTTCACCGTTTCCACAAGTGTAGGGTAGGCTTTTTCCTACAGGTGCAGAATCTGTGAGCTCTATCCAAGTTTTCAGTTTCTCTTTAAATCCCTGGTAAGGATAATGGCTTCTTCATGTATAATCATCCAGGGTTTTTTTCTGGTTTTGTATTAAATATGAGTTCATTTGGAAAGTCACTGAGTTATTATAGTAGCATGAGTAAACTATTGCTACATTGATCCCCCTTGCCAATTTTTATATTCTCCTAGCTTTGCTTAACCACTGGAGAAAGATGAGGCTTTCTGCTCCTTCCTGTAAACATTTGCAGTCTGGGAAACCTTATACAGGGTCCATATGAGTCTCTTCAGCACTTAGCAGTACCATCTTACCTTTTTTTTTAAAACAGTGTTTGTTGTTTGTCCATGTGTTTACCAAGAGTTGAAACAGTGCTGTTAGCAAAGCAAAGCTGAAACTTGTAGCTGTTGATTTAACCAGGAAGGCTATGATTTCTCCAGTGGTTCTTTCATGACTGTTCGACCACCACCTGTTTCCAGTAAGTATGACTCTTGGCCTCAGAGCAGAGATCACAACTGTTCTCCAACCATTTATCCTTCTGTAGGATTTTCTTCTCCAAAGATAATATGTTGTTTTTGTGGACCATTGAGTAGATTCTGACCCATAGCAACCCTATATAGGGTTTCCGAAATTGTAAATCTTTATGGGAGTAGAAAGCCTCATCTTTCTCCCAAGAAACTGCTGGTGTATTAGAATTGCTGACTTTGTGATTAGTAGCCCAACATGTAACCCACTGTACCACTAGGACTCCATAAAGATAGTATGTTCTTGTTGTTAGGTGCTGTAGAGTCGATTCTGACTCATAGCAACCCCTGGGTAGGGTTTTCAAGGAGCAGCTTGTGTGTTTGAACTACCTACCTTGTGGTTCCTAGTCCAATGCTGATCCTATAGCGTCACACCAGGAATCCTAAAGATAATATGATTTTAAGTGCCATCAAGTCGGTCCGACTCAGTGACCCTCATGACTTAAAATTCTTAAGCAAGAGGGGACTGTTTATCTTTTTCTAACCCCTTTCACTTCCAGATGAGGAAACTGAGATCCTCAAAGGTTGACTTGCTCAGGGTTCATAGCAAGTACTCTTAAAATAAGGAGTTCTGGTAGCGTGGTGGTTAGGAGTCAGGCTGCTAACCTTAAGGCCAGCAGTTTGAAACTACCAGCTGTCCTGCAAGAGAAAGATGAGGCTTTCTGCTTCTGTAAAGATTTACAGCCTCAGAAACCTATACAGGGTTGCTATGAACAGCACACCACCACCACTCTTAAAATAGGCTCATCACAGAATTTTTTTTTACAGTATCATGAGCAATACTGCAAAGTATCTGGTGAGATGTGGTAGATTGGAAATGACTCTATTCTTGACATTTGAAGGCCTGGACTGTATAACCTTGCTAGGTCAGTTACTAGCTATGCACAAGTCTCTCAACTCTTCTGAACCTCAGTTTATTCCTACCTGCAAAATTGAGGCAATAGTATATGCCTCCCATGGTGTAATTCATCTTCAGTGCAGTAAGTTTTTTAAGTGCCTGCTGTCTAATAGGCAAGACAGTAAAATCTTGAGCCAGAATTATGTTTATTTTTCTAAAGATTTCTACTTTTTGTTGCAGAAGCTACAGATTCTTAGTGAAAAATACAGATAAGTCAAAAAGGAAAAAGTCTCCTGTGGTCCTACCACTGAGACGATTGTTAATAATATTCTTGCCTATCCTTTTTGTACACTACAGAACTGTTTATTTATTTATTTTTTTTACCAAATAGGCTTCTCTTACTCGCAGTTTTTTTTTTTTTTTTTTGTAATCCACAATTCATTTACTTTTCAATAAGTTTAAATCCTTGAGGAATACAGCATCACAAGGATTCTGTGTCCAATGGCCTTAGCAGGAAGGTTGCTTCGGAATTTGGCACAAACCATGGCACTGTTTGCATGGGTGCGTGTTAACCTTTCCCCAGGTTACTGTGGTTTTGTTAGCTTTGCCGCCAGGAGTCACTGTGTTCTTCTTTGCTTTGTACACATAAGCACGTCTCTTGCCTAAATTGAATTCGGTTTCATGTCAAGCATAAACACATTCAATTTTAGAGAAAAGCTGTATGTTCCCGTTGGTTCTGGAGACTCTGTTTATAACTAGCAAAAATGACCTTGGACCATAGCCTTCCAGTCATAATGCTGGCTTTGAAGTCCTGTTCCCAGCAGGCCTCCACAGACTCCAAGATGGCGGAAAGAGCTCTTATTTCTAGTTTTGTAGTGTGTTTTTAAGATTTAGTAACAGGTGATAGGTAGATTTCGCTTTAGCAATTACATTTTCAGTGGTGCTCTGTATTAATAGCTGTAGCACATGTGAGGTGGTCAGGCCGTATCCCAGCACATGAGCGGAGGACCCTCTTTTAGAAAGGGGCAGAGACCTAACATTTATTGCATGGTTACTGTGTGTATGTGTTTCTTTAAAATAAAGATTTGGGCTCTGTTGCTAAATGGAGAGTGTGAGCCCTTAATTCTTGCCCCTGTTGTGACTGCCACTTCAGCTTCTCTAATTCCATTTTCCTTTGAGGCTTGCCCTGATAAGGGAGTGGTGGGAGTAGAAGGTGGTGGTTGTCACCTGAAGACCAGGGGGGATGTTGGAGGATGTAGGACTAGAGGCTCCTCTCTGCTAAGGGCTTTGTGTTTTTAAGTGCCTTTGAATCAGTTGTAACTCTTAGTGATCCAATATGGGATTTCCTTATGGTTAGCAAGGACTCCCAGGGCTTTGTGTACTCAACAAATTGCTTTGTTCTCCAAACTAGTGAATGATGGTGATTGTGTGCCATGGAGTTAGTTCTGACTGTAGTTGTAAGAACATTTTGAAGGTAGGCCTCCTTGTTGGTTCTAGTATGAGCAAAGCTATTCACTAAATATTCTCTTGCTTGAAAGGCTTTCTTCTCTCTATATGTGTTTTTGGAAATTCACAAGTGATTTGGTCTGCTTAACTGTCCACTTTTCCTCCCTGACTTCTTAAGCCTAGCCTGCCACTTTTATTTTCCAGCAAATAAAGGGTGTTCAGTATTAGTCCTTGGGACACACAATGAACAGAAAGTTTAATTCAGTCAATCCTGTTGCCCCAAAGAGCAAGATTGTTTTCATTGTTGTTAAGTGTCATCGAGTTGGTTCCGACCCATAGCTCCGCTGTATAGGGTTTCCAAGGAGCGACTGGTGAGTTTGAACCGCTAACCTTATAGTTCAAACCACCCTGTGGTCAAGTGTTTAACCTACAACACCACAGCAAGACTCCAAAAAGCCAGATTGTTAAGTGCTGTCCAGTCAGTTCCAAGTCATAGCGACCCTGTATAAGTTAGAACCAGATAGAACCCCAAAAAACTTTTAAAATTGCAGTATTTGACATGTTTTTAAAAAGAATAAACTTTTTTGTTGTTGAGAATATATGTATAAAGCATAGGGTAATTCTTGAGTTTCTCTGTGTGTAATTTAGTGACATTGACAACATTCTTTGAGCTATGCAACCATTTCAAACTTCTTTTCTGATGTGTTTCTTCCTCAGTCACAAAAACTCACTGCCCCCTAAGAGTCCTGTCTAATTTTTGAGTTACCAGTTTCATTCCCTATAGATAGCTCTTAAAAGATCATAATGCTCAGGGCAGACTTTTTTTAGTAGTAAGCTAAGCTATTTGCTTTTAAGATGGCTTCAGGGAATATTTTTGCTCTAAAAGGTTTTAAGATGATCTCAGTAATACCTTTAGGAGGAAGTGTTGGTTGAGCTGTTGGATATGCACTGGACTGCAAACCACAAGGTCAGCTATTCAAGCCCACCAGCTGCTTCACAAAAAAATGAGCTTTCTGTTCCTGACAAGATTTGCAGACTTGAAAATTCTACATAGAGTCGTTATGAGTTGGAATCAACTTGACAATACTTAACAAAAATGGTGATACCTTCAGAGATTCA